ACAAGAATGAATATGACGGAGTGAATTTGAGCGCGAACAAATTTGAAATTTTTTCTTTCGCATTCTGCCGTTCTGCAGTAGTGGCGCTCTACTATTTCACACTCCATGTTTTACATAGAAAAATTGACAGAATATTGCCGGGTGCTTAGTTCACATTATTTTGCAATAAATAGAACAAATGTTTGAATAATAAAAACTAATTTCGTTCATGAAATAATCATTGGTAAATTTTTTTCGAGGTTGTCCTCTCAATTTTGTCCAAGAGTGTATATTCTAAATGAAAATGTTTTGGTCACTCCGCACCAATCATATCCGTCTAATGAAAAAAAAACATCATAACTTTCACTGCTATTAAGAAGTGAATAGAAAAATTAAAATATATTCTCTAAATGTGAAATTGAAATTGAACTGTATTAAAAATTTCTTATTAGATTTTTTTTTCGTGGTAAAAATATGAGATTATATATTTTTCAGTGCATTGAATTTTGTTTCTGCTGTCTAAGAGATTTGAACAGAAGTTAATACGGAATACCAATAGAGCGGGTCATGTGTTCACATCACGTGTTCTGATCATATGAAGCAGTAATTATTCCAAAAAGGAACAACAACTTGACATTTTCGACGTTTACCAATTCAATTGTTCCTATTTTTATAAGCGTTTTTATATACTTCTTCTGAATTCTTATTTACGTGATTTTTACCAGTTCAGTACCAAAGTCCAGCAAAATATTACAAAAGTGTTTCAAAACACTTTATCTGAAACATCGGCTGCATTTCGCATTGATACAGTAACCGTAGTTAAAACGTTGGGACACGGTAATGTCTTAATCTTTTCATCATCGGAGCCCGTAAAACACTGACTCTTGGAGAGATTGAAAGTTTGGAATTGTGTGTCATGTAAATTATTTAGGCTAACCACATTGTATATGCTAAATTGATTTCGGTTCTCTTCGATATTGGATTCGGCAATATTGGTTTCAGATTTTGAAAGCGAAATTATTGGACTGATGGCTCCATTTGACGAACCCGATGTTGGTGTTATTGTTGTTATTGTTGTTGTTGCACTAGTCGCATTGAGTCTTTGATTTGTATCGGCTACCAACAACGATGATGACAGTGGTGACAACGGTTTGGGCGATCGAGTAGCTCTAATTCTTAATTTAAGAGCATCATCGTCATCATCATCGTCATCATCATCGTCATCATCATCTTCGTCTTCATCAGTTTCATAATATGGATCGGCTATAGGAACAAAATATGATTTGCTTATTGAATCACAACTAAAACTTTCATTCTGTATGCAATGATTTAGATCACATGAATTTGCATTCACTCTTTTATTTTGTGCGGTAGCAGAGCAATTGCATTTGCATTGGTTAGTTGGCTTTTTTGATGCGTCCAATTGCTGATGACCGTGTGCCATTGGATTACGTTTGCAGTTGGTGATGGTGTTAGTGGTGGTGACAAGTGGCGATAAAATTTTTGGTGTTGCTTTACCTGTATTCGTTGTAGCATTAATGATCGTTGCATTTGCCATGGTTATTGGTAGGTCGCCGACATTCGCCGATGATGCATCCATTGGTGATGCTTGTATTTCGACAGTATTGTCTTTTGGCTCAAACACTTCGTTCGATTTGCCTGAAATCAAGCGTTATCGAATAACAAAACATTCATCCAGTCCATCAATGTGTGTAAGAATGATAAAATTAAATTTTTACTTACGACATTTACGATAATCGAATTCCTGATGTAGTTGCAAGCTACATGCTTCTTCACACAGTTCTTCGTCTTCGATGTCATCATCTATGATAGAATCTTCTTCATCAGCTAACGATGTGGGTGATGTAGTTGAAAGTCCGGTAGCACTAGAGTATATTTGGCCGGTAAAGTATTTATCGGGGTTTGACTCGTGATTTTCACACGGCACTATCCAACTAAAATTGAAGTTACACTGCCCCAATTCTTGTGTGACCCACGGATCGGATACTAGTTGTTTCATTGTGTACCGCGTTTTAGGATTTTTATCGAGCATTGATGTCAACGTCTTTACCAAAGCTACACTAACATTGTGAGGTAAATGTAGTTCAGAGTGAAGCGTCTCCTCGATATCAATGAATGGATTTTCAAAGAAAATTAAAACAAACAAAGTGATACCGAGTGCCCAGATCTCCAGTTCGGGACCAGCATACTTATTTCCTGCTAATACTTCGGGCGAACAGTATTCTGTTGTTCCATAAAATGTTGAAAATAGCTTTCCTTCTTCCATGAATGTCGCCGAACCAAAATCAATTAATTTCACATGGAAGTATTGATCGATGATTATATTCTCGTCCTTAATGTCGCGATGCAAGATTTTCAACGAATGCAAATAATCGATGGCATTCACGATTTGACGAAATATGTACGAGCCCAATTGTTCATCGATAAGTGGTCGTCTGTCTATAAACTCGAATCTAAGTAATGAAGTTGGTCAGTCAGTTAGTCATAATATGTATATTTAATTGAATTCGTATACAAAAGCCGTTACTTACAAGTCCATACCAGAGCCATGCTTTTCCATGACTAGTTGGAAGAATTTCTCATTTTCGAAAACATCGAGTACGGTCACAATATTTGGATGTTTTAATGTTGATAAAAGATATACTTCCATTGGGATTTCCTTTTTATCATCGGCAATCACCATAAATTGTGGCGGTAATTTATCTTTTAGAATGAATTTGGTCACAACAAGCAGTCTGTCCGTATGTCGAAACGATAATTTTACATAGCCAAAAGCACCCTTTCCAATCTGCTTCAAATTTGTGTAATATTTATTGTACTCGCCAGAAACCTGTTCATCTTCGTATTGAGATAGCAGTGACACTGAATTCGGTCGACTTGATTGATTGGCATTTACATTCATTGAATTTCTTTTGGCCGCTGTACTGGCCGTTGGTCCACCACCACCACCACCACCACAACCACCATCCACAGATGTTTCAATGTTGCTCGTAATACTATTAAATGTTAACGTTAAATTCGGATGCTTGCCATCATCCTCCTCTTCTTCGTCATCGAGGTCGGATTCGTCACGGCAGATCCAAACACAGAATACTTTTCGGCCACACGGCAGCTCTTGGCTAGAAATCGTGTACAATACATTAAACACATTGCCGTCGCAATGAATTGCCTTTCCTTTGTATTTTCCATCGGGAAATATGTTCTGCCGACTGTTCGACTTGGTCGCAGTTTTCGACGACGACGACAATACTTGGTTTCTTTTTTCTATTTTAACCAATGAGTGATGTGATTTTTCCCTTGCCTGCTGACTAGACGATAGTTCGGTTGTTGAAATATCAATTTCACTTAAATCGTTTCGGCAATGTACACCATCAGATGTTTCTGACTCTAGCAAATATGACTCAGATACAATGGTTTCGTTTACTGGCGTTAATAGTTCGTTTGCATCACAGATACTCGTCTCATCTTCTTTATCACTGGTCTTAGCTTGACGTTGAACTGATATTGTCTCAATAGTTACGGTTGGTTGTGTTTCGTACACTTTGAAATTATCCAATTGACAATGGTTCCTTTTGGTGCCGCTGCAGTTAACATTCGGAATGCTCTCCATTTGGAATAACGTGTTATCAGAAAACGATTTTCCAACACTACAAGTCTTTGTTGCCGCAAGTGGTTTGCCTTTTCCTATGTCGTTTTTCATTACATCGTCACCATCGAATGATGATTGCACACTGTCCACTATTAGATAATACATATATAGACTGTTATTGAAATGATAATCCAGTGCTAATTGGTTTTAAAATTTTGGGGATAAATCATCAAAATCTACCATTAATGAAATATAAATAAATGAAAAATTTTGGAAAATGGCTACAAAAAAAATATGATTGTAGTTCTTAACATTCATTTTCGATAAATATCAGAAAATAATATTTTATTACGGTGTATTTGAATCGGTTCGCTTATTGCTGTTTTGATTTGATGAGGCTGCACCGTGCTGGACATCTCATAAATGGAGTTTTCATTTTCGTTAATTGACTTGCTGCGATCCGATGCGGTCGTACCAACTGGTGTTGCGTAAAATGATTCTGCCTCGTAGTAAACTGGGTCTGTTTCTGTCTCCGACTCGTTATCCAATGAAGAAAATGTTACATTACGGCTTCGGCTGTTGTAGTGCCTATTCAACAATTGTATCAATTAAGAGTGATTACAATTTCTCTTCTAAAGCATAGATAGTTTTTATGTTGAAAAAAAAACCAATGTTTCAAGAAGTTTACCATTCGCCAATGCTCAAATATTCCAGATCCTGTGCAAAATGCGGAATAAGATTTGTTATATGTAGTCGGGTTATTTTTGACTGTGCATAGCCAAACATAAGCATCGAAAAGTGGTGATTACACAATTCGATTGAACCACTTTCATCGATTACGACTAAGCCACTGATATTTTGAAAGACCCAGATGGTTATCACATACGAATTGGTTGCATCTACCGCATTGAGTTCCGAAGAACTTGTTGTTTCAGCAGTAGTAGTAGCAGCGGCCCCATCATTCTGCGGCGTTATCATTAGACAGAGTGGAAAGCTTAAATTATCTCTTGTTTTACCCGTTGCCTTTTGTTTGTACATTGTTTTGTTATTGTGGTTAGATGAACTGTCCGCATTAGGCAATTGAATGGCTGGAATGAAATTTTTGATGTCGGAACCAAACAATTCATCTTCTATGTCAATTTGGAATAGCAGAAGTGTTTCATTATCAATGGACATAATTTTTCCATTCTTGTCCACAACAATCTGAGCGATTCGACGCTCCACTGGTTCAGCGACTGCCAAACAACGGCCATCCGCATCGATTTGTCGAATCCAAAGGCTCACAGCTACTTTCAATCCACTTTTTGTTGACATTTCAACAACTTTTCCACTCAATAACACCATTGTGCCATCCTCACTATTGAGCTGACCCTCTGCCAATGCTGATACATAGCTCTTGTTTGTTTTGTTCGTTAGCAACGATGAAAATTTCATATCACATAATTCGCATGGGCGATAATCTAGCAGCTGGCATGCTTTGTTATTTACAATAAGAATGTTAGAGGATTTTGAATCAATTGTGAAAACTGCTTTATTTGGATTAATATCCGTTTTCGGAATGCGGAACATTGACTCCGAAGCAGATGCAGTGTTACTTGTTGTAAATGCTCCTCCATTGAACGGTGATATTCCACTTCCTGACGAAAAGATTTTTCGCGTCGAAAAGCGTATCCCGTTCGCACCATCCACTGAAATAATTGATGAAACATTTTTTTTCTAGAAAAAAATAACACACAAAAAAGCAAACATCCCACATACACACACACTTACCTCGAATTCTATCCATGTTCTTTATTGGACTGTACTGACGAACAATTAAACTGAAGGACTAGTTAAATATTTTTGATATATCGGTCTGAGCAGAACGTATGATGATCATACTTTGTTTGTCTACACCGCAAACACAAACTAGTTTCATAATATATAAATACTTTCATCCATTTATCAATCACCAATGATTAACACTATTGTCGAACTCAATCTGATGGAAGTGCTTTGCAAAAAAAAGAAAACAAAATTATGAAATTTCTCCGAAAGCTGACCGAATTTCCGATGGAATTAACTAGTGTTTTCACCAGCTAGTCAAGTCTTTAATTTGTGCTAATAACGCAAATCCACGAAAACTCGATGACATTCAAATATGGACATGTTTCGAGTTTGAAATCAAATAAAAACATTGTACATACAAACGCACGTGAACTTGTGAATGTGTGGCAAAACAAAAAAGACAAACAACTCCAAACAGACTGAAACTATAGAGTCATATAAATGATTCAGAGTGAGTGTAGGGCACAAATCGATTCGAAGATGCAGCGCATGTGCGTTTGCAGTCAGTCATACGCATACATATACATGTCATTCTGTGCTCATTTTATTTTCATACTGAATGTTATTTTCATTTTGTTTTTGTTTTCCATTTCATTCAACAGCAGTCATCATGGTCTGAGACTCTGTCAAACAATGATAAACTGTGGAAATCACGGTTTGTGTGTGTGTGGTGTATGTATGGTTGTGTGAACTGCATTCACTGGCATTGTGAAAACAGCTGACCGCAAATTGCTTACCCTATTTTGCTTTCATCAAACTACTCAAGTTCCGTGCATGTTTGCGAAATGACGGTGTTTTGTGCTCAAACACGTCGATACGTTGAGAATAAAATATTTTGCTTTCGTATTGGGGTGGGAGATAGAATTCAAAGAAATATCCAGAATAAATCGGATTCACATATCTATTTATTACTTATATATACATATGTATATACATAAAGAGAGGAAAAGAAGTGAAACATTTTGAACAAATTGATTCATTTAATAGCGCATTTGTTTCGGGTGTGTATGTGTGTATTGGCTTTGATTTGGTTTGGTTTGGTTAATATTCGTAAAATCTATCTTATCTAGAATGTCGTTAGCAATTCATCTTGAATACTATTCGATCTCATTAGTGTGCGGCCCCCGATTATCGAACCGGTTACATTTTCTGATACAGTTGCATCTAAGGATTTCTTTGCATGATAGTCTTCAGAGAATTCCTGCGAAGAAGAACAGAAAAAAAACATTTTAAATTTGATTCATACATATGTATTTAGTTTCTCGAATTATAATTATACAAACCCTTAGACGATTTCCTAAGAACACGGCACGTTCCCTCTTTTTGATCATGTAGTCAGACGAAATCAACCACCGGTGTTCGTGACACTCTTCAGCATATGGACGTTTACTGAAATGACAAAAGAGAAATAATTAATTTGATGAATGCACCAATCAAACTAAACACACAGAAATCCCATGACCTACTTTGGTGCACGTTTGAAGGCAAACATGATGAAGCGGGTTGCTTCTTGAGTGATTTCTTTATACAAATTATCGAAACGGTATCTCACAAATGATATATTTTGTTTAGTTTCGTCGTGCGTGGATCCTCGGAATGGACTCGTACCCGATAGTAAAATATAAGCGAGTACGCCGATGGACCAAATGTCGGTTTGCGGGAAGGCTGGTTCATTGTTGACAATTTCTGGAGCGGCTGTATCCAACCATACGTTGTTTGGTACTCGTACTTCGGTGCCAACTTTTGAGACTCTTTGGGCTGCACCAAAGTCAACCAATTTAATTTGAACGGATCGTACTGATGACATAACAATATTATCTGGTTGGATATCCAAATGACAATAGCCACGCCAATGCAAATATTGTAATGCATCTAGTACTTGTGTGATAATTGTGCACACATGCTGTTCGTTATATTCGTGGCGACTGCTAAGATATGTAAGGATGTCAGCACCCTGCAGTTTTTCTTGAACTAATATAGCAACCGGGAGGTTTGGCAATTTGAAAGCAGCCAAAAGAGCTGGGATCCGTTCATGCCGCAATGTTCTAAATGTTTCAAATTCATGCTGAACTACTTCTTCGGTAGCCGCATTCAAATCAAACACTTTAGCCACCACCACTTTGTCCGTTGCATTTTCAACACCTTTTACAACAATGGAGAATTTGCCGCGGGCAATTTCCGAAATGAAGCTGTACTTCTCTTGCAGATGTGATTCCACTTTCCAGTCGAATGCATAGCGTTCCAAACTATAGTCAACTTCATGTTTGTCTTGTTCGTCAGTTACTTTGTGACCTGAATCAGTGAGCTGTTGGAGATGTTTCATTGCTTTTGTGATTTGAATTTTTGGCGTACCGCTAGCATCGGTCGTTCCTGGTTTTGGTATGCCCATTCCACTCCATCCGATACGATTTCTTGATGCCAATCTGAATTGATAATTGGTTTTCTCTTCCAATTCACGAAGCAAATAGAACTCATGGTCTATATTGTCGGCGACATCGATCCAGCTGTCACTACTTGCCTTCTTGTATTGAAGGCTGTAGCACAAAACTGATGAATGTCCATCATCGCCTGGAACAAAATTCGCAAATTAAGGCGCATTTAAAGATTAATAAAATAATTAAATTTCATCGATCTGCCGTCCAACTTACGGGGCTGTTTCCAACGTAGCAACACTTCGGTGTCACTAACTTTTGCCACTTCTGGTGAGTCTGGTGCATCGGGGAGTGCTGCGAGTACGACACGAGCACGTGCGACAGTCTGGCCAACTTTGTTTCGGGAAACGGCCTTATAAATACCGACATCGTAATGTGAGGCTGGTTGGAAACGAACGATTGAGCGACCGTCTTCATCGATGATAATTTTGATTCGTTTGGTCTCTTGCAATACCATATCGTTCTTGAACCATTGCACATTTGGTGTTGGATCGCCCACGGCAAAGCATTGCAATTGGGCGGGTTCATTATCCGTAATGGCTAACTGTTGTGGCTTTTCGCGGAAGAATGGTGGATATCCTTCGCGCTGCGATTCTATCATTGCATCGGCTTCGTTAAAAAATATAAATTATAATTATTTTATTTAAAAAATATTATATAATAACAAGAAGTAAATCGTATTAAAAATAAATACAATTTGAATTTGAAAAGAAATATAAAAATACTAAATACCTTCGTTATAAGATTCCAATCTTGTGCCCAATTCAGTTCGCAAACGGCGAATGGTAAAACTGTCATTTGAACCATAGCGATTAATCCTTGCTTTGCGTTCATCATCAATTTCCTATTAAGATATAAATGAATTGGATTATAGTATTTATTTTTACTCTACACCACACATCAGTATTGATGAATGTGTATAGTTTTTTAATCTAATCACCAAAATCACCATGAAAGCAGCATCAAATATAATGCTGGGTTTGATCGCTATGAATTCGCATTTTCTGTATTTGCTACTGATTCCATAACTATTAGAATACATTGCCCCTCCCCCGCAAATTAGAAAACCTCAGAAATTAGAAATGAATTTTCGGTTTGAAAATTTGTATGGAAAATTTCTAATTTCCGCGGTTTATTTCTTATTTGCGGGGATTTCAATTTTTCACTTCAAGCCTCAATCTATGACAAATTTTACCACGGTAACATTAACAAAATTTCAGCGCGTTCAAATCGTGAAATCCCACCACGAACATAGGTCTATTTTTCAATTTCCAAAAAATCAAAATATTATGATAAAATCTGGCTTTTTACCCCTCAAAAACCATCTTTCTCTCTTTTTTTATTCTTGGAAGTTTTATCTTAGCTTGAGCTGAAAATTCGCATCAATAACGAAAGCAAAATTCCGCACCGTTTTTAAGATATAGCCAATAGGCCGTTTTTGGCCATCATGGCCAACTCTGGCCAATTTTACGAAAATGGCTTTGACAATTATTGTATAGCCAGCTCGATTCAACAATGAAATGTTCTTGAAAAATTGTCAAATAACAACTTAATCAGAATTGAGCTTTAAAAATGTCAGAAAATTTGTGCGCCAAATGCATAGGTTGGTCACTCAATTCACAAATTTCTCAAAATTGGACCATTGTTTTGGCTATTTGGCGATAATTTAGTTTATCGCGAGTGCCTTAGCTGCGTTTTTAGGTGTGTAAGTCCATATTAAATGCATTTTTATACCATTAAATATGACATTTTTCAACATTTTTTGGTGAAATTTGGCCTCTAAACAGGCCACAATTAAAATGCGCCATACAGGCTGTTTGCATAATATTCACTTTCATACATTATTGTCATGGATCAAACTACAACATCAAATGAAAATTTGAGCGATTTCAATAAAATTTGTTTATTTTATTTAACGAAAACTTTTTGCGTTCTTGTTGAAACACCCTTTAGATCGGCTGAGTTCTACGACGTTCATCAGAAAGATAAAAATTAAGTCACAAAGTAATCTGTTCCATATTGATTGTCAATCATCAATTATCAACAAATCGAAACTGATTTCCTCTATCAGATAATTTGCATATACAAATTGTATACACGATTCTAACACTCTCTGTTTACTATCATGAAATACCGGAGCTAATAAGAACAGTCGGTCATCATTTATTTCGGTTTGGTTCGAGGAGTACTTTATCCAGAAAAATAAACCAACAGAGTTATTATATTTAAAATCAATAAAATAACCACTGTATTTTGGGTAAAACGAATTTGGTCATAAAATTTACTAAAACCGGCATAAAAATATTCATTTTTGGATGGCCCAACATTGAGTTGAGCGTAAACTGGGATTAAATGCATCGTTTCCCCCCCCTCGCCCATCTATGATATCAACGATGCACGACACAATGAAATCGAAGAAGAACATCGTTGTGAGCTGTCATGAAGCAATATGTCTACAAACTACATGTGCAAGCCTTAGAGCACAGGTACAGAAACAGTACGCGACTTGTCAATCTATGAGTGTGTTTTTGCATACTTGTACACTAGTATATATAAAGACGCGTGGTTTCGATATGCTGCCAATAATTCGAGTAAACACTTAATTCGGATGGTAACGTATCCCAAAACGCATGCCTGTAATTGATCAAATCTCAGGCTTTTCTCAAATCATTCCTTTCAACCGGAAGAAAAACGGTCTAATTAATAATTTTTATCACGAATGACATTTTAACTAATCTAATTATTCAATAATTGTTTGGTTCAACACATGCAAATGTAATTTTTACTTGTGCCCATTGCCCATGAATTATTTTGAAACGTGGATTGTGCATGACAACAAATCGATCGACTCGAATAATACGACATTACCAAGTAGCAATAATGAAATGCGGGACGTGAAATAGTCCATATACAAAAGTGCTATTCAGCAATGTAAATTTATATGGACAAGGAACACTTTTACGCAATTTGTTTATGTTTCATTTTTCAATGTTTTCATTTCATATTACTACATTATTCGAAGTGATGCAAATGTACAAGGTTGCTAAATCTGACGAAGTGCTCGTGAACTTGCTTAGTTTTCGTTTCTTATTATTATCAAGATCATTTTGCATTAAAATTATGAAATGAATTAATATCTTGCATCAAGCTTTCTACAAAAATTATTTCGTCGAATTGCAACATAAAACCACCTATAAGTATCCCATTTATTTTATTCAAAATTCTGTATTTTATAAACAAAAGCAAAGCCTGTATAAAGAATAAGAAAAAGAATTATACCTCATCCATAATATCAGTAAATCGTCTTCTTTCTCGGATAATTGGCAGAGTGTAGTCGACTCCATACTCATTGAGAGCGAATGCTGGAGAGCGACGATGGGCAACTTTCATGTATTCACGCAATCTCACCGGGAAGTCAGTATCACGTAATTGGAGCAAATAGGTGTCGGGGCCGTATTGATAATGGCTTTCACTGCTAACTAAACCAAGTTCGTAGTCTGGATGATGGAATTTATTGAGTTTATCTTCCCATGCAATACGTTTTCTTGGCTCACGCACAGGTTCTGGCGTTGGCTCTGGTGTGTAGTAATCTCCAGGTGGATAAACCATTCGTGATGGATGAGTAAATGCACCAGAAATTGGTCGACGGCGGTAGTAGTTGCGACATGAAGCATTTGAATACCAATCTCGGTACATGTTGTGATAGTTGCGCAAGCGATCAGTGGTGATTTGATACTCATCATCGCATCGTCTGTCTAACAGATGGAACCATGGATGACGCAATGCCGTTTTAACGTCCATACGACCGGATGGCAGGTAGACAAGAAGCTTCGAAATGAAGTCACGCCCTTCTGGTGAAATATGTTGCCAGATCGAATCTTTGAATTCCCAGCGTCCCTCTTGGACGCGGGTCAATGTTTCACGATCGTTATTGCCACGGAATGGACTGGATCCAGACAACAATACATATGTGATGATGCCCACACCCCACATATCATGAGCGAAGCCAACACCGTCTCTGTTGACAACTTCGGGTGACACATACTCTGGCATACCTGTTTGTAGTTTTATGTAATACGATTCAAATGTTTGAAAATCGGGAGGCAAAATCAATACTCTCTATACTGTACAAAAATATTTCATGTTTCAAAAGAATTAAAAAGTTTATAGTCAACATACCGTAGTCCAATGATGCTAGATTCGTAGTATGGATGCGTCGAGACAAACCAAAGTCACAAATCTTCAAATCATCACTACCCACATGACCAATGAGCAAGTCTTTCAAAGTGAGTCCCATATGACCGATACCATAGTCGTGCATGTGTTCCAAACCGTGCAATAATTGTCGGATATACAAGGCAATGTCGCGTTCACCATAACTATCTTTCTTCAGTAAATTGTCCTTCACAAGTTCACCACCGGCGGCTAGTTCCAAAACCAAAGTGAGCGTATTATCATGATCGTATGCATCGTGCAAACGAATCAATTTGCGATGGTTCAAATGATTCATAATCTCGAGTTCATTGTTCATGAATGGACGCACTTCAGCTTTGCCATGCATTATCTTAGCGGCATAGTTATTTCCAGTTGCACGTTCGACTGCATGATAAGTGATACCTTGTGTTCCTCGTCCCAATTCGTCTCCGATATCGTACAAGTCTTCATGGTGCTTTGGTTTCGAGCGTACATACGGATTGCGTACATGCGTCTTGTAAATGTACTGGTCTTCATTGTCCTCAACATGTACCATTGCCGATGCGCTAACACAGCCGGCAACATTTCGTGCACTGCACGAATAGAGACCAGCATCTTTGGCAATTGCATCGTTGATGGTCAATACAAAAATATCTGGATCATATGAGGCAATCTTGATGCGAGCGGAATCCGTAATTCTGTAGTGTATAAAAAGACAAACATTTTGATCAGATATTTTGTTTTCTTTTTAATTTCAAAGTGAAAAAGACATAAATTATGTTGTTATTTGTTATTTGTATCGGTACTCCAGACATTTGTTGTCTATACTATACGTGTCGCATCCATAATCAAGATTCAAATGAACTCTTTCAAATTTTCTTTTGAATTGAGCATTCTTTATGCCATCCATTTGTTCAACAGACACACACTCGCATACAAAAACGTTGCGATGATTTAAAGGTGCTGAAAACCACCCATAGGAATTTGTTACATTAAACTTAAGATTATTTGTTTCAAGAAGCACATTCTCGAATGTTTAGAGATAGAGAAAGCGAGAGAAAATGTACTTATTACTTAAGAGAGAGAAAGAAAAATTAATAGAGAGGAAGAATTACTTGACCAAAGTCCATGACCAATATATTTAGAACTTGTTAAAGTTATGCTGTTGTTGTTTTGTATGTGTGTCAGTAGGCGTACCATTCAATTTAATTTTTTTCCCTCCTCTTTGTATTTTTAAGAGCGAATGAAATCGTTGTCAAGATGGCTAATGAATTGGACGATGATTGGAACGAAAGTATGGCTCAGGCCCCAGAACGTATGGACGTCCAAAAACCAATGCGCAATGAATGGAACGATGATGGCTGGGACAGTTCTCTACCGGAAAATCCAGATGTGGTGGCAAATGCCTGGAATGAAGGGGCAAAAATGGCAGCAGCGCCAAGACCAATTGGCCTCTTATCCGTGTTACAAACTGGTTCACTCGGCGACTCAGCGAAAAAATTCACATTATGCGATGAACACCGCAAATCAAAAAGTATCGGCGATACAAAACGACCCGCAACTGGTAAGCAAATTTTGTGCATCTCCCTCTCTTTCTCTCTGTGTGTGTGTTGTGTCAACCAAAAATACTCGATATGCTAATCATTTTGTGCGTTTATTTTGACTACTTTCACAGGTAAACGTGGTACAAACGTAACTCTGGCTATGTCACAAACGGTGATCGATGGACAAAAACAATTTCAAAACAACGTAGCATACGAAGTTATCAAGCAACATAACGCACGAGAGAGTGATCAGTTAAGCATGAAAATAGGAGAGAAGTT